TACAGAATACTTCTTTATAGAAAAAACTTAAATGGCAAATAGCACACAGAACTTTTAACACTTATGCACAAAAATTGTTTGAAGAAAATTTTCAAATAAAGTTTGCTACTTTATTTGAAAATTTTCTGCAAATATCTATTGCTATTTTAATTTTTTTTATCGACGAAATTTGTGATACAACTGGACTGATATTGATTTTGAAAATTTCTTTTTGCAAGCAAACCTTTTTTATCACGGGCTAGGGACGGAATGCGTTTATCGATACAATGGATCGCACAGAGGTGTGAATAAATAATTATAATGGAATTGAGCGACTTTAATTGAATTACATTAAATATTCTGATTGATACTATCAAAAAATGGAATTACATTAAAATATTTGTGGTGGTACCTGAGGTAATTATGTAATAGGTCCTTTAAGGTCCTCTACAAGGGCCTCGACATCCGTCAACAATTGGTAATTACATGACGGAGCTGTTTTTCATCATAAAGCACTTGTGCAATGTGGATTGAATGAGCAATTTTATAACAGATAAGATAGTAAAGAAGAAAATTTTCACGAAAGACAGGTCAATAACTGGCCTAATGAAATATGCATCTTTTTGATTATATAAAAAAATACATACCACCTATCATAAAAGAGTTGAAACTTTTATGTGACAACTGCCCTGGGCAAAATAAGAACCACACTATTATAAGATTATGTTTGTCGCTTACAAATATGAGGCGCGTCGATAAAATTGAACATTATTTTCCCATTAGAGGGCACTCCTTCTTGCTCTGTGACAGGGATTTCGGTGTCATAAAAAGATACTTAAAAAGTTTGACAAAATATTTGAAATTCATAAGTAGATAAGTTATTGTGAATTATAGTGCCAAAAGTAAGTTAACTGTAAAAGAAGTTGAAACTAGTGAGATACTTGATTTTAAGCGCAATGGTGGCCTAAGTATTATAAAAAGAAAAGCCTGTTCACTAAACAAATAAAATGTACCTGGATCTCAAAAAACTCATTTTACAATTTCGACCTTTAACCATTTTGTATATAGTTCCGAAACTCTAGGTTTTGTAAGGGCATCGGAATATATTAATATCATTTTTCGTGTTAATCACTTCCATTTGGCTTTACCGAAACACAACAGATAATTTAATATCGAATGCCCTAAAATACCAGCATATCCTGAAGACATGATGCCAATTTTGGAAACAAAAATACGCCATTTACAAAGCCTTAAACCAGTGGGTACAAGAAGATAAGCAAGAGTTTTACGACAACAATAAATTCCTGGAAGACCAAGAAATCTAAAACCAAAGCATCTTAATAAAATTGAAAACCATGTTTTTTTTTCATTTTATTTTAAACTTTGTAACAATAATGTTTTATTTCTATGTTTTATATTATAGTATTTCTTTAATTATGGTTAAATATATTTTTGTGGCTGTTTTTCACAATAAAATTACCATATTATAGGATCATATAAATACCTAAAAAAATAAATTTCCTTTATAAAATGTATATATCTGAAAGGACTTGGGTTAATTTTTTTGAAAATCTGTCCAATATAGAACATCCAAAATTCTAGATTGATTTTATTGATTTGAATACACACCTTTAACCGAACCATACTAATGAAAAAAAAAAAGAATAAAAAACTTTAATTATCAAGAGGTTAAAAAGTAAACAACATTTTTCTGTTTTTTCCAAAACTTGAAAATATCACTTTGTCCCCTTAAGAAATAATCGATTCCTTTAAAAATCGTCTTCAAGCACGTGTTAACGTTATTAGAGATCATATCGAACACCTTCTACGTTTATGATGGTGATATAAGTACGGGATGACGCAATTAAAAACAATGAGCAGTTTATTGTTTGACTTACCCTGTATTAGATTTAAAGAGTAAGTATATCATATCTTAATAAGTATTGACAATTATTTTAAAATTATCGCTACGATAGGTCAGATTTTCTTTGAAAATTGGTTATACCTTTTTAAATACTCTGTGTAAAACAAAACGTTTGTCTTGCAACGTTTCATTAAAAAAAAAATCGGTTGAGTTTACCGAAAGTACAAGCTGAATATAACCGCAAATGTCAACCATGAAATAAAATATGTTGTTTTGTCAGTGTTGGAATGTTTTTATAATGCATCTGTTGCATCTAATGCAACACTTTACAACAGCATACAAAAAGAAATTCGACGTAAAATACGAGAAGCAAAGAGTCAACAATCTAGCCAAACAGTGTCATGACATTGAAGAATTTGAAAACAGATACGACACGTTTAACATGTATAAAAAAATGAAAGAAGAGGATGGTATCTTCAATAAGAAACAAACTGCATTGCTACAGGATGAACATGGTAAAGTAATGTTTGAAGTAGAGGACAAACTTAATGAATGGGAAAATTACGTCACGAACCTATTCGAAGACGAGATGAGTAGTTCACCTCCCGATATTACTAACTGCGACGGACCCCTAATAATACGCTCTGAGGTTATAAAAGCCATACATTCATCAATAAATGGCAGATCGACTGATCCTGATTAAATTCTAACTGAAATATACAAGCTTATAAATAATAGCAATGTTTTAAAGGCTATAACTTCGTTTTTCAATACCATTTATATCAGCGGACAACTACCTAATGGTTGGTCTAATTCACTGTTTATAGATCTACCTAAGAAGACAACAGCAAAAACCTGTGCTGATTATAGAACCATCAGTTTGTTAAACCACTTATTGAAAATTTTCGGAAGGTAATACATGGTCGTATCTACAATAAATGCGAGGAATACCTGGATGACGCTCAGTTTGGTTTGCGTAACGGGTTTGGAACGAGAGAGGCACTGTTTGGAATGAACGTACTTGCTCAAAGATGTCGAGATATATCCTTACACATATACTGTTGTTTTATTAACTTTCAAAAGGCATTTGATCTTATTAAGCTCTAAAAGACATTGGCATGGACGGCAGAGATTGTCGAATAATTGCAAATTTATATTGGAATCGAACAACATCAGTTTTAGTAGATGGTGTGGAATCATAGGCTCTCAATATTAAAAGAGGAGTACGGCAGGGATGCCTCTTGTCACCATTGCTTTTCAACGTTTACTCCGAAAGAATTTTTAGAAAAGCACTTTCTGAAAAACAAGAAGGAATACTTGTGAACGGTGAAGTCATCAATAATTTGCGATATGCGGACGATACAGTACCCCTAGCTTCTAGCCAAGAAGATCTACAAACACTACTTGATAATGTCGTTGAGAGTTGTAGGGAGGCAGGTCTGGATCTGAACATACTCGTAATAAGTAAATAACAGCATATACAACCGTCTATATATGTAAATAATACTAAACTTTGGCAAGTTGATGAAATCATTTACCTTGAACAGCAATTAAATTGTAACGCAGCAAGTCACGGCGAAATTAGATCTAGAATAGAGCAGGCTAGAGCTGCTTTTAGAAGGATGTCCAAGGTGTTATGTAACAGAGACCTAAAATTGGCATTGAGAATCCGCCTACTTCGCTGCTACGTGTTCTCGGTCTTACTTATCGATCTAAATGACCTTGAGGCTTTCGAAATGTGGTGCTAAGTTTTCTGGGTGGAGAAGTTTCGAAACTCCACAATACTAGAACGTCTCAGCAAGACTACTAAGATCATAAAAAAGCATCAAACAGAGAAAGCTGGAGTATTTCGGACATGTAATGGTTGCTACAAATGGTTGCGAGGTCCCAAATATAGGTTGCTACAAAATATCATGCAAGGAAAAATAGCAGGCAAACGCAATCCAGGACGAAGAACCTCATAGTTGAAGAACTTGCGAGATTGGTATGGTGTTGATAGAAGCTTGCTATTTAGGGTGGCAGTGTATAAAATTAAGATAGCTATGATGGTAACCTGCGTTCTTAAAGGACATGGTACATGAAAAAGAAAATGTTGTGTGCTTCAAATATAAAAAGAGAAAACTTTTACATTTTGATTATACTATTTTATGAATTCTGCAATTTTTAATTTATATGAAACAATAACGAGTAAATATTTTTCTCTTTCGGGATTCATTGTAAACATCCGTTGCAATCTGGCAACTGCTGATTCGACGATTGTTAAATATATCCCCTAATCTATCAAAGGGCAATTGCCAAAAAAAATTTCTAACAATTAACTGCAATTTATCTCCAAAGAAACAAATATTTACTCATTCCTGTTTTATACAAATCAAAAATTGCAGAATTCATAATATAATATTATAATCAAAATGTACTTTTCTAAAGCTTTATCTCTTTATATTTGAAGCATACAGCATATACATTATAAAAACAGGTTAACACTGTTAAGCCGAAATTTTTTGTTCCATGTTTGACATTTGCTGTGCTGTGAAGCTGACAGCTACCTCGTATTTTTGTAAATAACTTTTTTTCATATCTCCTATAATAACAAATTGGAAAACAAATAAAATAGGGATTTTTTTCTTTAAAATTCATTCCCTTCATTCATTCAAGTTAAGAGTTAGTGGGTACCACCTAAACGAGCAAAATGTTGGCTTCATATGACTGTTAATAAGAAATTTTACTGTAAAGTTCATTCGTTTAGCAAATTCCTATCTGCCAACAAACGCACGTGTTGATATTCTCCCTCTCATTCAACAAGAGGCTATTAAATATAATTTATATTCTTAAGCCAGACAGATTCTCATATTACAGATCCAAACTTGCCAGTCTGTTTAAATTCAAATTTTATCGTGTTGGTTTTTAAGTTAATATATTGTATGTTATATTTATGTTATAGTTATTGTTAAGTTATTTACTGGTCGTGTTATTTTTTTTAAGTTTAGCTTAATTGTGATTTAATGATTAAATTTCAAGAAATTCTTACACTAATAATTTCAAAAGTAAATATTTTTAAAAATCATATGATACACATCAGTACGACCCCATATTTATTGTACCATGGTACGACCCTGTTGGCTTTCACGTGCGTCTGTTGATAATTGAGAATATTATGTAAAATGAATGTAGTTTATAAGAAATATTTAACAAAAACTAATCAATAATAAAAAAAATTTATTAATTTGCACTAAAATGTGTAACTTTGTACATAATATGCATATAAATAGGCTCAAGGATACATATAGGATCTCTATCATTATCAGACCAGATCATTCTTCCATAAGCATCTCAATAAAAAAATTTCGAGTTTCGTTCTGATCGATTTCGTTTTGATCAAACACGTTCTGAGAGCTCCTAAACGGCTCGTTGGAGTCCTAAACGATTTAAAAGGAACAATCTCCGTGATCCTTACACTCCTATCGTAGCCTCGTTAGATGGTAAAATGAATATTGGCCTAATACTGGTAAGTTTCCTCATTTTCAAGGCAGTATAAAGTCTTTTGTACTTGTTACAGACGACAGTCTAATAACCTTTCCAAAAAAAATAAGTATAAAAGCTTACAATTCAAAGTTTTAAGAATTAAATTACATATTAAATTAACATTTATTAAATAGTTGCCTACATTTCAGATCTGTAATTATAATTCAAGAAGAATAATATATAGGCATACTATTAACTTATTCTTCCTGATTTATAACATTTTTCAAAAGAATAATCATTGTAAATAAAATTAAGTAAATATTGTTGTTGTCTGACTGATATTAGTAATCAAATGTTAAACTTAAAAATCCGGTGTTATCCATAAGTTTATTATTACACCTACATATCCTTATTGCAATTAAGTTCCAGATTATTGGTAGGAGTGCAACAAAGAATATCTAGGCCAAATATGGGTGAAATCTTTATGAAAGTAGCATATTGCCTTAATATAGGCCAAATGTGGACAAAACCTTTGACTAACACAGCTGTGGTAGTAATTAGGCAGGCACTGAATATCGATTAAAAGGTTTATTGACGTATGAAATCTTAATATTGGCCAAATATGGTTAAAAGCGTTTTCTGAAGATAGTTGTGCCATCAATAGGCCTAATATAGACTAAATATAAATGAAAACGTTTCTTGAAGGTAACTTTGGGAGCATTTGGTCCTGATCAACTGTGGATTTGCAGAATTTATCTGACCTTATTATAAACCAAATATGAAACACACATTTGATGAAGATAGTGGTAGCATCAGTTGAATACATTATAGACAAGTGGTGGATAAAAACGTTTGCTAAGAGTAACTGTATTAGCAACTGTCTGTAATATAAACTAAGTATGCTTGAAAATGTTTATTGCAGGTAATCTTAACACGTGGACTAAAACGTTTGCTGAAGCCAAGAAGTATTTTTAACATAGAAAATATGGATGAAAAAATTTGCTAAGGTAAGAAAGTAGCATCTGTTCTCAATATGTACCAAATATGGACTAACACGTTTGTTGCAGGCAGCTGACGTTAACATAGATCCAATATGGATAAAACGTTTGTGTAAAGTAAGTTATCGCAACAATTAGCCACAATATAGACTAAACTTCTTCTGAAGATAGTTATGACAAATTGGCTTCAGTATAAACCAAATAAGGATGGAATCTTTAGATAAAGGTTATTGAAGGTATCAGTTAATCTATATCACGTATGTACTTAATAATGTTCATTGAAGTTTAGTTAGTCTTGAAATGTACCAAACGTAGATACAGTTAACTACTTTAATGGATGTCAAATGTCATGTCAATATCAAAGGTTTGCTGAAGGTAAATATAATTGTGGCATCTGTGTTCGATATACATGTACAAATTTAGGTTTAAGTGTTTGCTATCAACCTTAATATAGACTAAATGAGCTTGAAAATGTCCATTTTAGGTAGCGGTTGGTTTTACTATGTACAAATTTGGAATACAATGTTTTCGGAAAGCAAACTAAATTTTTTATTAAGAAACTGTTTGCTGAAGAGAATTATGCCAGCAGTAAAGACCAAATATAAACTTAAATTTTGATAGAGGCAGCTACTGACTTTAATATTTGACCAAATATAGTTAAAAATCTTTACTGAACGCAGCAGTTGGTCTTAATATGTGCCACGATAGATCCAATTTGGATAAAAACGTTTGCTAAAATGAGTTTTGGTCTCGATGGATATAAACAAATATGAACTTAGGTTTTGCTTAAATGAACAGGTACCTACAAGTTTTCTTGAAGGTATCTGTGACATAGGTTGGTACCATTAAATCCAAAGTGGACGTAAGTACTAATGATAGAAGGTAACACCAATAAAAAAAATTGTGTAAATGTAATAAAATATATAGAAATACACAAGAAAAAGACTACAAAAAGAAAAATTTTGTAAATAATTAGTTAAATATTAGAAGATATATTTGGTGTGTTATTTGTATATTTGCATCAGTCAAAAAACAACGTAGTAAACATTTGTAAAAGAATTCTTTTAGTTATACATGTATATAAGACGAGAAATATTCATTACTAAGAACTATTCATTATAAATCTGATATTTAAGGTCAAATTAACAGTAACAAATAGCCAATACAAAATAAAACATAATAAAATAGACAGTTTTGTTTAAGTTCTTATAACTGAATATCTCAAAACTGGAAATTTTTGATCTGTTGACAAATGAAAGTTACATATATCTGCTTTATCATATAACAGAATTCTTCGGTATTCTTTATGATGTTGAACTCACCCAGTCTTATCTTATATATCAATAGAATTACCATAAAATATTGATAAAGAGATAAGAGAAAAATATCTGAAAAACTTCATTTAACAGTAGTGTAGGTTTTCAAAACACTCCTCGATTGAATCTGTTGTGATCTACCGTACGTTTTGAGACCAGGCTGTACTTCATTGTTGGATGATCTGCTATATTTCGCGACCTTGGGGGCATCGTCTAAGGATTTTCTTTTGTTATTCTTGCCTAGAATCATGTATTTAATCGCTTCCGGCATGCCGTCTAATTCGTACATGGCGTCGTGGGGGCTGGTACCGAAAAAGTTCTTCAGTTTCGTATTTGCGTTGAATTGCAGCAGCATTTCGACCATTTCCACTAAAACAAAATAAAGATTTAAATTACTTCAATATATAATTATTAGGACAACTAAATATATGCTGGTGATAGAAAGAACTATGTCAGTCGTAAATTAGGATATATATAAACCAACAATCCACTTATTTTTGAAGTATGTTTGGGCAATGAGGCTGATGTTGCTGCATGCGAAGTACGCATGTGTCAAACGCCAGCAGGTGATAACTATCTAGATTGCAGTATATTTCAAAATCATTTGATCAATTCCTGGTGCTTTATTATTTTTAAGATTTTTAATGGCTTGGGCAACCTCTTCAGTGCTACCACTGATACCATTTGCTACGGTGTTATCTGCTTCTTCGAAATAATGACGGTTCAAGATTGAGGCCGTATCACTTACGATATTTCCTTCTCCATCCTTACAGCTCTCTATTCTTGGCTTAAACTCTTATTTTGTTTACATTTCTGTAGAGTTTCGTTTTGATTTCTTAGCCATTCAGAACAAAAATGTACCAGACAATATTATACAGAACAAGAATGCCAAACACAATATAAAGAAAGAAACACAATAATCAAAAATTATTGAAAGACTTATAAAAGTTCGACTTATGCCCTTTCTCCTTAAATATAATATTTTATCGCAAAATCAGTTCGGCTTTTTGTCTAATAAATGCACTAGTGATGCCATATTTTCTGTGTTACATGATGTATATCTATCACTAAACAGTAACCTCTCCTCCGCCACCGTTTTCTGCGACTATTCCAAAGCCTTTGACTGCGTAAATCACGACATTCTATTAAAAAAATTAACTTTCTATGGAATTCGGGGTGTGTCTTTGAACTGGTTCAAAACTTACTTGGTAGGTAGGAAACAATTGGTTAGAATAAATGACACCGACTCTAGTTGTAAAGATATTGAGTGTGGAGTACCGCAAGGTTCAGTATTAGGTCCCATTCTTTTTTTACTTTTCATTAATGACATCACTTACTTGAAAATTAAAGGGAAAATTTTTCTATTTGCTGATGATACCAGTATTACTTGGAGCAGCTCTGATATTTCAACGCTTCATTCAATTATAACCGCTGATTTACTTATAATCAAGGCTTGGTCAGACTCCAACTTACTTAGCTTTAACGTGGATAAGACTGTAGCATTATCTTATAAAGGAGTCGTGCAACCCTTGCTTTTGAATGAGAGACAAATCAATATCGTAAATTCCGTGAAATTTCTAGGTATTCTCATTGACTGTGATCTCAAATGGTCCTTGCATACTGACTCCTTAAGGAAGAAACTAGCCTCAGCTTGCTTTGCAATAAGATCTGTTTCGAAGGAACTAAATTTATCTTCTGCCAAAATGGCATATTTCTCATTGTTCGAGTCCCATTTTCGATATGGGCTTCCATTTTGGGGTTCTAGTACAGCGGCCCAATTTAATACTATTTTTAAGTTGCAAAAAAGAGCAATCCGTTATCTATTTGGTCTCAAACTAACAACTCATTGCAAGACCTACTTCAAAAATCACGGAATTTTGACGCTTCCCTCTTTATTTATTTTGGAAACGGTTTGTTTGATTCGAAAGCATCTAAACATTTTTCCCGATAGACCTGACCATGGCTACTCCATTAGAAATTCGGATTGTAACGTTTATTTGTCGATCCCGTCCACTCAGCTAGTAAAAATTCTATTCTATATTGTGCAAAGAAACTTTATAATCACCTTCCAAGAGAAATTAAATCCGCAACATCCTTCATTAAGTTTCGTAAGGTGACAAAAATCTATCTCTCAGAAGTACCATATTATTCAGTTGACGAGTTTCTTAATGTATAACAAAGAAACAAAATTAGTATTGTTTATAATTACTTTGTTTATAATTAATTATTTGGGTGTCTCAAGCAGTGGCTACAATTTGTCTCATTTGTTGTTGTCTGTACAAATTATGTAGGTTATACAATAATTTTACTAATTTAAAATTGTGTTTTTTACTATATTTGTTTTTGTTTTATACTTTTTGTACTATTTGACTGATTTATTTTTTAGCTTTGTCCATAAAATTGTTCAATAATTTTCAGTGACAATAAAGCATATTTCTATTCTATTCTATTGTGAAATGGAGAATCTCATGGAAAGGGCTTACAGTCCAAAAATAAACTAATATAAATATGTAAATATGTAACTATTCAAAACAAGTTCCGAAAAAACTTAGGAAAGTGTCAATACGTCCTAAATACCGAACCTTTCAGAGCAACATAGTAGTAATACTCGCATACTACTAGTGAAGCAACTTGCAGTGATTAGAAGAAACTTTAGGCCAAGAAGAGGATGAAAAGAATGAGAATTGTAAAAACTCGATTGAAAACTGGATGTTGTTATGAAAGTTCCATAAGATATATCCCACATAGAGAAAGTCCTTGACGAAAAAGAAGAAGTAGTTCGAGAACACTCAAAATGACATCGAAAATTCATGATGTCTAGTGAAGTTTGGAACGTCAGAAAATATATTTAAACAGATGTTTTTGACAGTTTAAAATAGTAGTATTGTGAATTTTAGTTGTCATTGAGTTGTCGTGGTTCCGAATAAGGTTCATTTCAAAGAAGTGTAAAATTGATGAAAGCGGTGGGAGATTGAAGAAATAACAAACCATTGTGAATGGTTAATACGAGATCTACCGAATTTAATAAAGAAATGGATATCTCCGGACCACCTGCAACGTTTTTAAAAATGAAAGAAAATAAAGAGAAACGTAGATAAGAAGAAAAAGAGAGGAAGAGGAGAAGACGAAGCGTAAAGAGGTGAAGCAGAAGCGTAGACAAGAAGAGGGAGAGCTGAAGGAGAAGCGTAGACAGGAAGAGAAAGAACTAAAACAGAAGCGTAGACAAGAACAGGAAGAACTGAAGGCGAAGCGTAGACAAGAAGAGAAAGAGAAGCGTAGACAAGAAGAGGAAGAACTGAAAGAGAAGCCAAGACAAGAAGAGGAAGAACTGAAAGAGAACCGTAAACAAGAAAAGGAATGAGATGCGTAGAAAAGTAGTGGTATAAATCATAAATAGTGTATCTCAAATTCAAGAAAATATTTCAGTTAGAAGTAAGTTAAATCACTATTAGAATAGATCAATTAATAGAACAACAGCATGATTTAGAAAATAAAATAACATAATTATTATTTTATTATATATATTATTTAGAAAAAATTAAAAATAACATAATTATTAAGAAAACAAAATTAATTTAAAATGCCAAATATGTAGTTAACAAAATATAAAATGTTACGCATAATCGTATAAATAAGTTTTCTGTGTATTCTTATGATAGATGTTATGACGATTTTCTTATTAATTAAAAGTAATGGTGTATTTACATGCTTGTTATAGATATAGTACTGTTTCATTATATGATAATTTTTTATCTTTTGCGCTCGATGTTAAGAATCAAAAGTATATCGCACTTGATAGACAAATCTGATATCAAAGATGAGTTCGCCACTTAAGCTTTGACAGACAGATAAAAACAAATATTTACAACCGAAAATGATTTTTTTGTTTTCAAAATATTTTCTACGTCATTCATTTTTTCATGTGATTTAACCTATTTTTTATCGTTGCTGGTTTCGTTTTCTTTATCCATTCATCATTTTACTAATCATTTAAATTTTAAACTCTCCACCCCATTGGGATTTGGACGTATTACAAAATACCTTTTCCGCTATATACTACAAGTTATCCGCGAATAGATGATAACAAAACATCAGTTCTAAAAGCATCAACGGTTTCCCATGGAGTCGAAAAGGAGAATCTTACGGTGGCAAATAGACGATATGTAGATATTCCCGTTCGTATTTTCTTCGAACTTCTCAATATAACCTAACCGAACTTTACCAAATCATACCTAAACCAACCTAATATGGCAAACCTAACCTTACCATAACCTTAATTTCGATGGCCGAATTATCCTCTGAGGTTTTTGACTTTCGGAAAAAAGCCTCGCCATTTCTTTCTGTACTGTGTTGGTGTTTCATGAGGTGTATTAACAGTGTCATCCATAATCGAATATATCACAAACTGGATATGGACGTTAATGACATACAATTTGGTTTTCGCAAAGGCCTAGGAACGCGTGAAGCTCTTTTTTCGCTTAATATACTGATACAAAGATGCCTGGACGTCAATCAATATATTTACGCATGTTTTATTGACTATAAAAAAATATTCGATAAAGTATGACATGAACAATTAATGAATAATTATTCATTAATTCTGTCTCCGAGAAATAATCATTCTGTCTCCGGCTTCTATATAACATGTAGCTTCTCCATTTTTAAAAATTTTAAAGTGTTTGTTTGTCTTTGTGTATTGTATTGTTATGTCCAAATTTACATGTATGACATTCTGCTCATGTCGGATAGGCCACAACTGACGAAATGCCCCTGAGGATGATCTATTGATCGAAAGTCCTTGGGCAAGATTTAATTAATTACTGTGTTCGATATTTGCCTTGTATACCATCAAAGTTTAATTAATAAATATCCTGAAATCAAAGAAGATTGACTACAAAGACCTCAGAACCATATCAAATTTATACTATAAACAGCGAGTAAAAGTATGTGTTAACGAACAGCTGTCAGAAGAGCTTGAAATTAGACGTGGAGTGAGTCAGGGATGCGTATTGTCGCCAATTCTTATTAATGCCTACTCCGAAGAGATCCTGAAAAAGCTCTTAATGGTGAAAAAGCTGGGGGCAAAGGTAAATGTAGTTCCCATTAACAACATTAGATATGCGGACGACACTGTGATCTTAGCCGAAAATATTGAAGAGACTGGTGACCAGAATAGCGGAATATGGAAAAGAGTACGGTCTAACAATGAAATCCAAGAAGACGAAATTTATGAGAATATCGAAAACTCAAAGAAATTACGATAATCTTCTAATAAACGGAACCAACGTCGAACAAGTGAACAAATATGCATTGTGTCCACTGAAAATATCGTGGACAGAACACGTCACAAACGAAGAGGTTCTGAGAAGGATGAATAAAGAAATAGAAATTTTAAATACAATTAAAACAAGAAAATTAGAATATCTCGGACATATTACACGTGGAGAGAAAAACACCTTGCTCTAACTGATTATGCAGGGAAAATCCAAGGAAAAAGAAGCATAGGGAGGCGTAGAATGTCATGGCTGCGCAACCTGCGAGAGTGGTACGGATGTACATCAAATGAACTTTTCAGAGCAGCCATCTCAGAAGTCCGAATAGCTATGATGATTGGCAACCTCCGTCGCGGAGATGGCACTTGAAGAAGATTAACATTGTCACTCAATCTTTGTAGGGGACGACCTGGAAGGCGCCTTCCTACAAGTTGCGCCGTCCTGTAAGGGATCTTACAATACTTGTTAGCAAAGGTTGAATCCAATATTTCTCACTATTTCGGTAAGTTATAATTCTTAGTCACTATTGTTAAAACATAAAATATAAAAAGCTTTTTTCTTATTTTCCTAGGATTTTAATGCGATACTACTCACGCAGCCACTCTTTGTCAATATGTCATCAATCTTCTTATCTAATGCAGTTAGTTCAGCTATGGTAATGTCTTTATCATCATATTCCATGATACGTTCATCTTCCTCTAGCGTCATTATTTTGTAAAAAGCTCTTTTGATAGGTGTCTCTCTCTTTCCATGCATTTGCCACTGTAAAATTGCATCTTTTATGGTGAACGATTTCCAAAACTTCACCAGATGAACTTCATCCAACAAGTTCATCATAAATTCTTTTCGGGAAAAGTTATTTCATTGTCTCAATAACACCTTGATCCATTGGTTGAGCAATGGATGTAATATTGGCTGTAAAAAAAAGAACAAAGAAATTTCCATCGTCAGCTATTAGGATCGCCTCATTGGGATGAGCGCCAGCATTATCCAGAAGAAGAACCGCTTTTTGTGGTAATTTTTCTTTCTTCAAATATAACTTTACTTCAAGAATGAATTTAGAGTGATAGTGAACTGGGAGATTCTGTCATTTCATATTTTTTAAAGCGCGAGGATTTTTTGACTGCCAGACGCATTGGCACAATACAAGACGGTTATCTTGTCTTTAGTTTTTTTATACCGAGGTGCACTCATCGCATTACCTGCAACTAAAGTTTTTGTAGGTATTGCTCGCCAATATAATCCTGTTTCGTCAGCGTTATAAATTTGAGAAAGTTGTAAATTATTTTCTGTCATTATGGTCTCCAGCAATCTAGAAAGAATGCAAGGTGATAGACTAGTCAAGAATATTGCTTGGAGAGTACCTGAGGGCAAAAAAAGAGAGGAAGACGTCCTGTAAGGGATCTTACAATACTTGTTAGCAAAGGCTGATTCCAATATTTCTCACTATTTCGGTAAGTTATAATTCTTAGTCACTATTGTTAAAACATAAAATATAGAAAGCTTTTTTCTTATTTTCCTAGGGTTTTAATGCGATACTACTCACGGAGCCACTTTTTGTCAATATGTCATCAATCTTCTTTCTTCATCGTCTTAAAGCCGACAAGGTAAGAAAGGAATTGGACCTGATTTGAGGATTAATGCCATTTTTTACGTTAACATATGGTTCCCAGGGGTAAATGACTTTGAAAATGAATGCGTAAATATTTTATTTAGACAATGTAAGTTAAGGGGTATATATAATTAAATTTTGTTGTTATTTCAATTATTAGGAAGTAACGAATATTAAGAAAATATTAACAGGATATTAAGTGTCATTTGTGGTGAGGAATAGTATATAAGAACCAAAAAAGCTTTTCCCGGTTTGACAGATTATGGTCTTTAAGTAGTAATTTATTTACCTTTTAAATAACTATTTTAATTTGATCCAGAACAACAATTTATTTAGTTATTGTATTATTGATGTCAGTATGTCGTTTTTTATTTTTTATTTTTTTTTATTTATTTTTTTTTAACCTATTCTCTATCCTTCCATTGTTGGATATGGGTCTCCCCCAGTTCTCTCCATCTTTCCCTATTTTGAGCTGTTCTCTGCCATGTGGGACCTCCTTGTTTCCTGATGTCATCTTTCCACCTCATCTGTGGTCTGCCTCTTGATCTCTTTGCATTGTATGGACGCCACTTTTCGATGGCATTGTTCCATCGTCCGTCTTGGAGACGTTCATTGTGTCCAGTCCATTTCCATTTCAGTTTTGCTGCTTGTTCTATCGCGTCTACTGTCTTTGTTCTGGTTCTGATCCACTGGTTACGTTTTCTATCTCTAAGCGATACACCCAACATTTGTCTCTTCATCACTCTTTGTGCCTTCCTTATCCTATCCAAATTCTTCTTCTTCCTATGCCGTCCCCATTAACGGAGGTTGGCGACCACATTTACACTATCCAAATTGGCCTGTGTAAATGTCCATGTCTGTGCTCCGTAGGTGAGCACCGTATGATACAGGAGTTATATACCTTGCTTCGTAAGTATAGAGGGATTGTTTGATTTTTTAGAACGTAAGAAAGTTTGCCGAACGCTGCCCATCCCATTCTTACTCGTCTGGATATTTCGGCTGTTTGATTTTCTCTATTAGCTCTGATTGCTTGTCCTAGATAGATATACTCATTTACCTGTTCTATTTTTTCTGTTTTTATTTTTATTGCCTCTTGGTCTTCCGTGTTTGTAATTACTTTTGTTTTGTTGAAGTTAATTTTTAGGCCTTTTTGCAGTGATTTTTCATGAAGTTCATTCAGCATTAATTCCAGTTCTTGTCGTTCCGAGGAGATCAGGAGTATATCATCCGCATATCTAAGGTGATTTAGGTATTTTCCGTTAATACATATTCCTCTGTTTTCCCAATCTGTTGATTTTATTATGTCTTCGAGGGTCAAGGTAAACAGTTTAGGTGAAATTATATCGCCTTGTCGGACTCCTCGTTTAACTTTTATATTATCCGTTATTAATTTGTCGTCCAGAATTACGGTCATGGTTGCGTTTTGGTAAATATCATGTATCAATTGTCGGTATCTTGAATCTATTCTACTATTGACCAGAGCTTCTTCAACCGCCCAGTGTTCAATGCTGTCGAAAGCCTTTTCATAATCTACGAATGCTAAGTACAGCGGAAGGTTGTATTCATTGGTTTTCTCAATTAAGATTTTAAGCGTATGTAGATGGTCGATTGTGCTGTATCCTTTTCTGAATCCGGCCTGTTCCACTGGTTGGTAGTTATCAAGTTTATAGGTTAGTCGGTTGTTTATTATTCTTGTGAAGGTTTTATATAGTTGTGACAAAAGGGAAATAGGACGGTAGTTGTTTAGGTCTGTTCGGTCTCCTTTCTTATGTATTAAGATTGTGTTGGCATTTCTCTATTGTTTGGATATTTTACCCAAACAATGGAGAAAACAAAAAACAATTAAAAAAAAAAATTATTTTTTATACTTATGACGTTCCCGAAAATGAACAACGAGTCCTTTATATGTTCCTGTGTACGATTGGCTTATTACCAATTGATCTTCTCTTTGACTAAATTGAGTTGTTTTTCGTTATAATATTAGTTCCGAAAGCCGAAACGTCAAATAAACAGTGCATTTCCAAAGAGATTTTGATAAAAAACGTAAATTTGTAGATACATATAAGCATACCTATACCTTACAGATACATATAAGATAAGTATAGCATATTAACATTGTTATTGGCTTACCATCGTGCTTCTCGGCGGCATGAAACAGTGCCGTTCTTCCAGAAATTTGATCTTTGAGATTGGGATCTGCATCAGCATCCAGAAGTATTTCGGCACATTCGAAATATTTGTTTAAACAACATACCATCAACGGCGTTAGACCTAGAAAATAAAAACAGAAATTAGCGCATGCAATTTATAATTGACATTAACAAAGATCATGCAACAAAATCGGCGACATCTGTGAATATTATATTAACATTGAATTTTTACTTGTCTTCATATTGTCAAACAGGATCAGTGGCAACAATTGAGCGTATTGTACGCGAGAAAGAACAGACAAATGTTTAAAAACCTCTTAATTCAAATTAGTGCGGACTGACATTTTAGATTGAATGAAGCCCAAAAAATATCATCCGTAAAACTGTGCATTCACTTTTCTTTAAAAATAAGGCTCTAACTCTCAAATCTGTAATAAGTAAAATAGGCAAAATCGATAATGTTCCTAAAATGAGACGTGAATAATTACAAAAAATCATTACATGATCGTAAAGAGAGTACAAACTTAACCAAATCTATTCCCATGAACGCTGTGTTCCCAAAAATGTTCAGGTCTGTACGTGTGCCTACATAAAGTTAACCCACAGGAATGCTATCCGTCAGTAGTCGGTTTCTGGACGACATCGAAGAAAATTTGCGCGTCAATTTGCTTAGTTTGGACTCTATTTGTGAATGTAGCGGTTGTGCCCGTACACAGTACATATTGATTTTAGTTAAAAATTGTTTTATCCCTCTTTTATTTCTGTTTAAGGGTACTATGAATTACTACGAAGCCGCACTTGCTATTGTGATCTCTTGCCTTGCTGACATATTGTATAAAACTAAACCGACGCACAACCGGAGCACCCATACGCGTACAATCATCATCCAGCCCTTTGCGTCCACTGCTGGACATAGGCCTCCCTCATTTTTATCCATTGTGCTCTATCTTGAGCACTTTTCATCCAATTTCTTGACATTTTCTTGACATCGTCTGTCCAAAGAGTAGGAGGTCTTCCTCTACTTCTTTTGTCTAACCTCGGTCTCTACTAAAGCAATGTCTTAGTCCACCTTTCATCACTGAGTCGAACGACGTGTCCGGCCCAGTTCCATTTCAGTGTGGCAATTCGAGAAATTACATCGGTAACTCCTGTTCTTCTATACTCATCATTGAGCTTTCCATTTTCCTCTGAGCTATTTGCAGCGTTTTAGAACTTGTAGCTGTCAATGTCAAAGTTTCGGCACCATAAGTCATCACAGGCAACACATATTGGTCAAATTTTTTACGTTTTAAAGAAATTGGTATATCGCTTTTAAAGATGACTTTGAGTTTTCCATAGGCTGCCCATGCTAGGTTTATTCTTCTTCGTAGTTCGCGTGTTTGGTTGTCTCTTGCGATCTTTATTTCGGGTCCAAGATATATGTATATTTCCACCAGCTCTACTTCGTTGTCTCCAATATTGATATTTCCGCTAGGTACTAGGTTTGTCATGAATTTTGTTTTGGAGATGTTTATCTATTTGAAGTTGTCCGAGAACAAAACTATGTCGTCTGCGTCTACCGTCAAAGTTTGTATGTACTAGTTTGTATGTAATGTGTACTAGTTTTCTTTGCTTCTACCTCCAATTTATTAAAAGTCTCCTTCACATTGGTGACTGTGTTTCCGACAATGTCAATATCATCTACATATACTAGTAGTAATTTTGGTCCAATTACTGTCAGTAGTTCTGTTTTAAGTTGTGCTGCTCTTACTACTTTCTCCAGGATGATATTAAAAAGGAGAGGTGGCAGCGCATCTCCTTGTTTCAGGCCACTGCTTATTTCGAAGGATTCGATCGATTCGAAAGAGTTTGTTACATATCCGTATTCTGGATTTACAGCTATTCAAGCATACCTTAACAAGCTGGATAAGTTTTTTTGGAACTGAAAGTTCTGCCATTGCATTTCACATCTGATCCCTTTTAATGCTGTCATACGCTTGCCGGGAATCTATGAAGAGATTATGGATAGTTCCATTGAATTCCCATCATTTTTCAAGCAGCTGTCTTAGAGTAAAAATCTGATCTATGGTCGATCTAAGTTTTCTGAAGCCGGCTCGGTATTCCCCTATGAAATTTTCTACAAACAGTGTCAGCCTACTTAATAGGATGTTCGATAAGAGATGCCTGTATAATTAGAGCACTTAGTTTTGTCTCTCTTTTTATGGACGGGGATTATTACACTTTCGTGCCATTTTGTTGGTACTTTCTCTTTAGTTTGTTACTAAGAATCCTATAGCAAATAAGAAACGGGAAACAGCATTTGGAAGACATATCTTTAAACATGTTGACAGTTTCACATATCTTGGCTCGCTAGTGACCGATAAAACAAGCGAAGAAATTAAAAGACGAATAAACCTTACAAATAGAATAAAAAACTTCTGGGCAGCAACGATCAAGGGCAGTGACTTAACTATTTATTAAACCTTTTTAAATACAGAAGAGGCCTATTTATGACTAGAATAAAATTGCTGTTTCCCATCGGTAGTCAGTATTTTAATATTAATAGCGATTATTCGTCACGGGAAACCCATACACACTAGTTTTGGTATTCGGGACTCGCCGAATATCGCATGAATGTGCGCGGATCTATAAGGTATGTAATCATATTCAAAATTTCCATTGTGTAAATTAATAAATTCAAATTCAAACATTAATGATAATACACAAGCGTTCAAGGACGTTTGTAAAAAAAGTTTTGTTTTTAAAAATTATCGCTCGGGGAATAAAGGTATTATAAAAATACTTTTGTTATATTATTGTTGCAAGATAAGCCAGTGTTAAAATAAATATATTATACACAAAAAGGGGTTTTCACAACAGCTGCGTTGTTATTATAATTAAAACTCGAATGTAGTAATTCGAAATGATAAAGAATAAAGAAAACGCCATTCATTATCATTCTGTTCGAGAATCTTATCTGTTAATTAGATATGAGAGTATGTATTACCCAAGACGGCGAATATATAAGGCCCTTAAAACGCACTCAATCGCAAACCGGATACTTTTTTCCAAAAAAAGTAACAAGACTATGCTTAAAAGTTAAGAAATTCAAGAAAGGCAAGATTTCAATTGAACGATGTCACTTTTTAACCAATATGAAAGAATTATTCCCTAAAATCGAGTATTACCGACATACTTTTATCCCAATAACAGTCTTATCCTACGCAGCCTGCCCCGATTAATGTAAGAAAGTCTCCTCTAACTGTACCACTGTGTAAAGCTCACCGTAGTTTCGTCTGATGCTTCTTTTTAGTATTCTCTGGACATACTCTATGTGATCTCTATGTTGAACACTCCATCACACATTAAAGTGATACTAATTAGCGACTCTGACAAAATGCAATCAAAGGTTATCTTGCATGGGACGAAAACGTTCTTAACACATGGTACGAAAGTTATCACGTGTTCTTCAAGAAATTCCCTTATGAACTATTAAGTTAAGAATGCATCTTCGAAAGGATAAAAGGAATCCGTGAGAACTTTCGACCAAATGTATGTGTAGTAAAAACGTAATTATGAATATATCGTTCTCCAAGACGTCTGAAGACATGTTGACGATTAGAGTAATCATCTCCTAAAATAGGACTGATCCTGTAAAGAGTACGCGTCGCTATACATCTATATTCCAATTTACATGAATTCTCTCAAATTCAGTCTGCGATTATCTGCAGTCGAAAAAGGCCAGCGTCAGATGAAGTAAAGTAATATATCATGAACATCCGCCAATCGTCTTGCGGATGGATGCCTGCGACGAATTTAGAAACAGGGAAACTTTTTTAAGAATTCGGCGATCTTTATGTACGCTACGTCTCATTACTATATGGCCACGTGTCTTTGTTCTAGAACATTTTGAAATAGCAGCGCCCATTGAGAATCTCGCTAAAGCTCGTTTTTTAATGCGCAAAATGTTCGCCCTATCGACATTTATAGCCAGATAAAGACTGTTTATGGTGAGAATGTAAAGAATCTTCAGTGGAAAAATGGCGCATTATGTTCAACCTACGAAAAACCAGTATGCACGATAAAGAACGAAATGAGAGACCATCTTTTGTGACGGAGTTGGAAGGAAAAAGATAACAAAACTCCGGCGATTCACTTTAACCACATTACATGACTCTTGTCCACAAATTTCTCGATTTCTCTTACATTAAATAGTAATTGAGCACCTTGGCTATAAAAAATGTGAGCTCGTTGGTTACCACAGGTTCTGACAGAAGTTAAGATAAAACGAACGGGAGCCCTTCATTTCTAGGCCAGAGGTGACAGTGACGATAACAAATGGACCGCAGGACTGTGACGTCACGACTGTCACATTGTCATTATTACTTTCCAAACAAACGTTGAAATGTCAAATCTCAGGACTTTTTAATTCCTATAAAGTTAACATTTTGCTTCATCTGCTGCTTTTTCTTGTAAGTATAGTGTTTTTTACGATAATACCATCATAATTCAGAGTTCTATTTCTATGAAAGTTTAATTAAAGAAACTTTAACCTACTTTATTGATACTTGCATTTTATTCCTATAAGCATAAAACAATTTTAGTTGCTTTATTATTTACACAACCTTGTAAAATTGTTGTAGTAACTATTAGAATACTTAAATATTGCAAAAAGCGGAAAGATTCTATAAAATAGATGAAAAAATAACGAAAAATACAAATTATCCACACTAAACAAGGTTTGTTTGGAAAGTGAAACTGACAGATGTCAATCAAATCTACGTCATCACTCCTGTGGTCCATTTCTCGACCGCATTGCAATGGGTGACGAAACTTGAATTTATTAGAAACAAAGCGACAATCCATATCTTCTTCTTCTTTTTATGTAGACCTGTCTCTGTCTATCTTTCAATGTGCCTTCAGTAAGTTGTTCCATCGTTTTCGTGGTCTTCCTACTGATCGTCTTCCTATTAGAACGTCTTTACTACTCTATTTGTTATCATTCGGCTTATATGATATATATAAAAATCCAAAAAAGAAAAGCCTAATCTGAATATACAAAAACTGGTAGCAAGTGTTTTTTTGACCGCAGGGATTTGATCCACGTAGAGCGTATGCCTAGGGGTGAAACAATAAATTTAT